CAACGTCTGAATGTCCAGTTACAACACACGAGGCTTCTTTCCCGGAGGCTTTGCGAATTATCGGGGCTCTGTCAGTCAACACCACACACACACACCAAAGGCTCTCTTTCTAAACACCCTAAGCATAGCAGTGCAGGAACCCTTTTGCTTTGTACACGGAAGGTCAGAGGTTCGAGCCCACCCGAGAGTACTACTAGCTGCCACGCGCGCCCGTCCTATCCGGTCCATTTTTTCCCCACCACAAGTGAAAGGCCCACAGCGTCTATTCAGCGCGGCCGTCGGCACGTCTCCGGCCCTGAACACGAAGACAGCTGTGGACAGGCGGGGAGCGCGGCCGTGTTTCCGGAGCGCGAGGTTGAAAGGAGAATCCCCGGGCACGGCGGGGCCCGCCCAGGGCGCAGGGCGCAGCGCGCAGGCCTCGGTGCGCGCTCGCGGCTTCCGAATCCCCGCGGCTGGTGAACGCCTGACGCACTCTGGCCTCCCCGGCCTGTCCCGGGGCCATGCACCGCGCCCTAGGGTCCCCAGGCCTGGTCAGGGCCCCGGAAGCCGCGTCCACCTGGCCTTGGTCTGTGCAGATGCCAAATAAGCCTTACTGTCCGTCTCTGTGGCGCAATCGGTTAGCGCGTTCGGCTGTTAACCGAAAGGTTGGTGGTTCGAGCCCACCCAGGGACGCTCAATCTTTTACCTCTCCGTGTTCGTCCCCGTGCAAACGGCCGCGCTCCGCACACTCAGGACGGCTGGCACGCATGGCCCACTTGCAGGGAAACGGAGAGAGCGGCACCGCCGGGGCAGGGCTGTGTTTTGCTTGGTCACCGGGGTTGAAAGGAAACTGCTGCCGGTGGAGGTGTGCAGAGCATCGGCCGGGAGCGCGGGCCACTGTCGCTGCCGGGAGGAGGAAAGCACCGTTCCCAGCCCGAAGGAGCCGCCACCAGCCCGGCCCAGCTGCGCATCCCTTCCGACCTCCCCGCAAACCCACCCTACACAGAAAGGCACCATGCCATCACTGTAGGAGCTCCCTGGTGGTCTAGTGGCTAGGATTCGGCGCTTTCACCGCCGCGGCCCGGGTTCGATTCCCGGTCAGGGAAGTCCTTTTACAACACACCAGCTCCTTCCACACTCGCACCCAGCACAAAGCCACGACCTCGTCCGCGGGACCCTGCACTGGACAGGCGTCCTCCCCGCGGCCTGCCACCCCCGGCAGCGCTGGCCCACGGCCCTCCCCCAGCCCCACCTCGGCGCCTGCCACCCGCAGCCCACGGAAGGGGCCGTGGGGGTGGGGCCGAGGAGAGCAGCAGCCGCCAAGACAGCTGTCGCCAACTCCGCAGCCGTCTGAGCGGGAATCCCCGCTCCTCGCCGCGGGGCTAGAGCCACTGTGTTCGTTTTTCATCAGTCGTGGGTCTTGGACTGGCGCCCTGATGGATGGGATCGGGAACGCACTGGATCTGGCTTTCTGCCTCGGATATTCGGTTCCCGCCGGGCCGGCAGCGCAGGCGGTGCTGGGAGGCGGCAGGGACCCGGCTGCGGAAGGGCACACGCGGCCTCCTCCCCGCAGCCCCTGCTGCAACCCGGGTCTCGTCGAGGAAGCCGAGTCGCGGCTGCCGTGTGCGAGATGCCCGCTCTTCGCCCGCCCGGCCCAGCGCAGCGGCGGCAGGGCGTCCCGGCCGGCTCGCCGGGCTCCGCGGGAAAGAAGAGGGCGGTGGTCGGGCTGATGAGTACCGCAGCGGCCCGTGGTGTGCCGTGATCGTATAGTGTTGAGTACTCTGCGTTGTGCCTGCATTGCAGTCTCGGTTCGAATCCAAGTCCCGCCAGTCGGGCCTGGCTCCCCGGCTCCGCCCTTTTTGCTTCCCGTGCACAGGCATGAGTGAGAGTCCACAACGTCGTTCCAGGGAGTGTCAGCCTAGGCTCATGCTTGTACCCTGCCTGCTCAGGAGGTGGAGACTGGAGGCAATGGTTGGAAGCCAGCAAGGCAGAAATGTCGGTGAAATTCTTATATCCAGCTTAAAAAACAAACAAACCAAAAAACAGGTGAAGGCTTGGCCCAAGTGGTAGCGCATTGGCCTTAAGTATAAAATCCAAGTGAGAGTTCAAGACCCCAAGTTCAAGCCTCATTGGTGACAAAACATTTGCTGGTAGTGTCACTTTTTTGCCCCTCCCTTGTCAGGTACAAACTTTTGGGGATGCAACGACATTACTGGTGAAGGGCCACAGCACCGCTTCTAGTTTTCTAGTGTTTTATTGGAGATAAGAGTCTGATGGACTTAGCTGCCCAGGCTGGCTTTGGACTGCCATCCTCAGATCTCAGCCTCCTGAGTAGGTAGGATTGCAGGTGTGAGCCACTAATGCCCGGCCTGGTGAAGATATTATAGCCAATGGTCGAGTTTTTTTTTTTTTTGGGGGGGGGGGTCAGTTGTGGGGCTTGAACTCGGGGCCTGGGCGCTGTCACTGAGCTTTTTTGCTCACTAGCACTCTACCACTTTGAGCCACTTCCGGTTTCCTGGTGGTTAACAGGACATAAGAGTCTCAGAGACTTCACTGCCTAGGCTGCTTTGAACTGTGATCCTCAGATCTCAGCCTCCTGAGTGTCAGGCCACTGGAGGGCCGAGGCAGCCAAGAAAGCCGCCTTCTCATCTAAATTACCACCTGCCCCAAACCCTTCCTCAGAAGCACTGGCCTGCGACCATCCAAATTCGCAAAACAGGGCCCTTATGCAGAATTCTCACTAATTGTTCTGTTTTTAGTCTGGCCATATAAACCCTGATGTAACTAGACTCTGGGCGACCTCTCTGATCCCCACCAGGGAGTTTGGCCGGGAGCGTATCCCAGTAAACTTTTATTCTCCCTTACCTCCTCCTGAGGGTTCCTTCCTCTCCTGAAACCTTACACTGAGTAGCTAGGAATTCAGATGTGAATCACCAGTGCCTGGCTTAAGAATCTCCGCTTTGGGCTGGGAAGGTAGCTCAGCGGTAGAGTGCATGCCTTGCATGCATGAGGCCCTGGGTTTGATTCCTCAGCACCACATAAACAGAAAAAGCCAGAAGTGGCGCTGTGGCTCCAGTGGTAGAGCGCTAGCCTTGAGCTGAAGAGCTGAGGGACAGCTCCCAGACCCAGAGTTCAGGCCCCATGACTGGAAAAAAAAAAAAAAAAGAATCTCCACTTTATATGCCTACTTTGAGCCCTTGGGTAATGCTAAGGATTTAATGTTACTGTTTTTAAACCCTTACATTTCAAAGAAATGTACAAAAGCAGTAAGTAGCTAGATCACAGCGCTCAGGATAGATCCCTGGCAGGAAGTGAGACCTAAAATTAATCAGTGAAAAACAGGGTGGCAGGCCTCTCTCCACTGTAAAGTCAACCTTAGTTCATACTCCAGTCCCCTCCCTCCAAAAAGATGATCAATAACAATCATTGGCAGTTATGACACTCTTTCATACATTATACATTGCCTTATTTAAAGCTCAGGAATTGTTTGCCAAAAGGTGATGAAACATGTCATGGCCCAAAGGAAGGTAGGCACTGAAAGAACTTTCAAAAAACAGCAGGAGAAAGAGGAGTGGTAGGCCTAGTGAGGTGTCCAAAACGGATAACTCACTGAAGAGATGGTGCTTCTTGCTCCATAAGCTCAGTATGAGCTGTTGGTGGCCTTCCCAGAGGCAGACTGGAGCCTCAAAGAAGATGCACCACCCCAGCTCCTTGGTCCTCCCAGGGGAAAATGAGCAGATAGAATCAGCACTCTGCAGTGGTCCTTGGCACAGAGTATGGACACCTACTAGAGTGTTTTTCAGGTGTGTAGATAAAAATGATTTCAACAAGCTGGGCACCGGTGGCTCATGCCTGTAATCCTAGCTACTCACGAGGTTGAGATCTGAGGATTGTGGTTCAAAGCCAGCCCTGGCAGAAAAGTCCGTGAAACTGAGCATCTCCAATAAATCACCAGAAAACCGGAAGTGGTGCTGTAGCTCAAGTGGTAGAATGCTCACCTTGAGCTGAAGAGCTGAGGGACAGTGCTCAGGCCCAGAGTTCAAGCCCTATGACTGACCAAAAAAAAAAAAAAAAATCTCAACAGTGAGAGACAGATGAACTAACTACACTGCCCAGGAGCTCCTGAGACACCCAAAGAACTCCAGCTGGGTAAATTTGTCCTCTCTGATTTATTGTGATGGGAAAGATGGTGGTACTTGTTAGGCAGAAGATAGAGCAAGGAGAAAGGGGTGGGGGGAAATGTTCAAGATCTAGTTACCATACAATCAACCTGCCACCAATAGCAGTCTTGTTGCTAGTAAAGGTGAATCCAGCCCCATATATATAGTTTGCTGTAGTGGATGAAGCAAAGATTATGGGTACTGGAACTAACAAGTAGGCAATCTGGGGAGGGAAAACTGCTGCTACAGAAGGGTAAGAGTGTCATCTTATTACCCTCAAGTTGGGCCCATTTTAATTTTGTGAGAAACATGCCTAAAGCTTAAAGAACAGACTTGGAAAAAAAGTATACAATCTAACAGAGTCTTTCATGACAATCCTGCAAGATCAGATGTCAGGAGACAAATCAATTTCCTAATTGGTGGCTTTCACTTTTGGTGCACATCTTTTTGGGGAGAATTGAATTTTATTTTATTTTTTTTGGGGGGGTCCAGTCGTGGGGGAGAATTGAATTTTAGAAGTCTCTCTCATACACATGTATGCACACACACTCTTCCTGGTGGGAAAACTTCCTAGAACATGCCAATCGGCAGGACAATGTCTTTACTCATTTGTAGTCCAACCTATGACTTATTAGCTGGTTTACTTACATAGAAAACTTGTTTAAAGTTACTACTAAAGTGTAAAGCCATCATGTAAACAACACTTAGTTTTTTAAGAGTCAAAGTCTGCCAGTTAAGAGTAACTGCAACCTAAACACGAATCATATGTTGTTTAAATCCTTGACCACATATAGTTCAGTCAAATGCTTGTTTAGGCAGTAAAAATAGGACACAAAGTTGTCTGTTATTTACACAACCAACCAGGGCAGAGCGCGCACGCAGTCCCCCACTACCACAAATTATGCAGCCGAGTTTCTCCTATGTGGAGAAATCGCAGAGGTCAGCGCACCCCAAGTGCAAATGGGTGGGCCTCACCCTGAGAAAACCACCTACGTGATCGTGGTATTTCCCCTGCCAGGTAAGTATGAAGAGCCTACTCCCCCAACCCATCTAAGCCTCACATGGTTTGCACTTTACACACATGGTCACCGGCCTTTGCCCCATTCCCGGGCCTTCCCAGCTCTTCCACGCAACTGCCACGCTCCACTCCCACCCACACTCCCGTACTGTCTCCCACACCACCGGAAATCTACCCAGTGTGTGAGGCAGGGTCGGAGCAGCAGCCCCCACTGTTCTCTCATCTGCATAGGACTAGCCCTCTTTATGACGTCATAGCGAGTGCCCTTCCCTCCAGCTGAAGACGCCCCGCCCTTTGACTGCTATTTCCTTTTTCCCCGCCCCTCGGGATTCATTGAGTCCAAGCTCAAGGCCTTTGGGGTCCTAGAAGTGACAGTCCACCCTCCCTCTGCCTGTCGTCCCTCCAGTAGGGCACATGGACAGCAAAGATGGCCCTGAGAGGAAGTTGAGTGGGCAGAGCCGTATTTGTTTACGTTCAGTGCGTAAACAGCTCCTGGATGCTTAGGTGCATGATAGGGTTTGACCTTTACAGTGATTGGTTGGTTCCTTTTCCGCCCCTCCCACGTGGTCTTTTGCTTTTAAAAGGGCTTGGTGGGTGCTTGACTTGAGTCTCCGCTGCTTCTGATTGTCTCCCAGGCTAAGGGAGGCTGGGGAACAGGGAGCGGCGCACTTTCCTTGAACCCTATCCGTCTTTTGTGCCGACATCTGGCGCCCAGCGTGGGGCACGAAAAGGAAAATATACTGGCCGAGGTTAAGCAGTCCCTCAGGGTAAGGGAAACCCTTAGAATGGGTAACACTATTTCACAGAAGGAGAAGGAGGCAACATTAGGCCTAGAGGGAGTACAGGAGGACTTGGGAAGTGTGAAGGAAAAGGAATGGGTCAAATTCAACCGAGAAAGCACTGAAACATGCACAGTGAAGTCAAAACAAGGGGGAAGGTCACCCCCTCTGACTCGGGTGCCCATAATGGTCATAGGCCCCCTCCCTATTCCCCCGATTGGGGGGTAGGTGCGGTGCCCTACACGACCTGTGAGAGGGACCTGCAAGACCCAGATCCCTCCCAACCTTCCATGGAGGGGCCGAGGGCTGGGGATACAACCTACTCGGAGGCCTGCCCTGGAAGGGAAGGGCCACCTGAGAGCCCGGACCCTAGGCCACAGGACTCGCTTCCCCAAGTGTATCTGGTCAATCTGGCACCAGGAGCTAACAGGCCCTTGGAATGGTATCCATGGGAAACTAAGGATCTTAAAGAGCTCCGCAAGGCGGTGGCGGAGGATGGCCCAAAGTCTCCTTGGGCCCAGACCCTATTACAGGACATTGCTTATCACCCGGGTGTCCCTAAAGACTGGCTGGATGTGATGTGGCCAAAGCCATCCTCACCAGTTCTCAGTTTATCAAGTGGTGTGCCTTCTTTAATGAGGAATGCAGAGTGCGAGCGGAGCGATAACTATTACTTACACCATGTTAACAGGGACAGGGGAAGGGCACTCCACTGGCGTCCAATAGGCCGCAATACCTGGCCTGTACCGTGACCAGGTGAGGCAGGCAGGACTTGCCACATGGTACAAACTGGATGATAGGCCTACTGAGTCCCCCATAGCAGGAATGAGACAAAAACCGGGTGAGCCTTTACCTGATTTTATAGACCAAGTAGATCAATTTGTAAAGCTACTGGTCTGGGAAGGGATGAATGCAGACCACCGCACGGCCTGTGCGGGATTGAGAGAGAGTTCCCTGAGCAGATGGGTGGTGGCCTCGCAGGATGTGGGAAAGGAACAGTACCAGTCCCAATCACTAGCTTTAGCTTTACAGGCTCAGACATCTGCAATGACCCAGGCGCTGGCAGCCCCAGGCCAAGGAACCCCAAGACCATCTGGGAGAGGGACTTGTTTTAAATGCAGGCAGGAGGGGCACTTTAAGAGGGACTGTTTACAACAATCCCCCCCCCCCAACCGGCCTGGGGGGGTCAAACCGCCCCCTACGTCCTGCCCCAGGTGCAGGAAGGGATACCATTGGAAAAAGGATTGTCGATCCAAGTTTGATTTAGATGGGAAGCCTTTAAACTAGGGGAGGGGCATTCTCCAGCCCTGTTAACTCCAGGAGGAACCCACTCTGCTGTGAGGCCCAGGCAGCCTCGTGGCAGGACGACCCAGGCCCATTGGACCGTCCCCCTGGTGGAAGGACTCTGCCCTAAAATGAGTATTTTCATAGGCAGGAAGCGGTTTCACTGCCTAATTGACACGGGGACAGATCAAACCATACTCAGGAAGGAGGAAGTGCTCTCATACCGGAAGCTTGTACCTGGACCCCTGACATTGCGGGTAGGGGGCAAGATGGTCACCTTATGAAATGGACTAGCCTAGATGGAGAACAGGGAAAGATATGCCCTTTAGTGGCAAAAAAATCTCACTGCCAATTTACTAGGGCAAGACATGCTAAGACAAATGGATGCCATGGTCACTACGGACCATTGAGCATCCTATGATGATATCCTGGATTGGGAAGAAGCAGCACAAAGGCTTAATTCCCTATAATCCCCAAGGCCAAGCAATTATAGAAAGAAATCGATGTTTTAAGGAGCAATTATTATTATTAAAACAAAAAGGGGGAGTTAGGCCGGGCTAATTCAGCTATTCAGGAGGCTGAGATCTGAGGATTGCGGTTCAAAGCCAGCCCGGGCAGGAGAGACCGTGAGACTCCTATCTCCAATAAACCACCAGAAAACCGGAAGTGGCGCTGTAGCTCAAGTGGTAGAGCGCTGGCCTTGAGCTGAAGAGCTGAGGGACAGCGCCCAGGCCCAGAATTCAAGCCCCACGACCGACAAAAAAAAAAAAAGGGGGAGTTAGCCCCCATATACAGTTATAGAACATTTTCAATTTTTCAAAAGGAGCAACTGAATCTAGATTTCAGAAGCACTGAGGACAACTAAACCCTAAGCCTCAAGTGAAAGTCAGGTGGAAGGACCCCCTGACACAACAATGGAGAGGACCTGACCCCCTAGTTACCACAGGCAGGAGATTTGGATGTGTTTTTCTCATAGCCCCCATTTGGATCCCGGCCAGGAACCTTAAGTTTTTACCCATTTCCTCTATACAGGAGGATGCCCAAGGATAAACTAACCAAGAAAAGAAAACGGCTATGGTGGCTGAGGCTTGTGTTTAAAGGAGGGAAAGCTAAAAAGATAACTACTAACCATCCCCAAGGGCAACCAGCCTTTGAGAAGCTCTTGTGTTCTCTAACAATTGCAGATGGTGATACTCCAGATGTTGGCTGTCCTACCTGGGCAGTGATCAGCGCTGGCAATGCAGAAATCATCAATAGCACCACAAGAGAAGCTGTCCCTTTGACCTGGTGGCCTGACCTTCATTTTGATCACCATCCTATGACATTGTGTAGGGACCATTTAATATTTCTTTAGGAGCTAATTCTTTTAATGTTACCTGCTCTAATTGTTCTTTTACTAATTGCTTCTATAGCGGCATTATACTTATTGTTAAACAACCACCTTTTGTTATGCTTCCTGTAAAACCTCCTCTAGAACAAGCCCCACCTCTGGACTCTGAAGTGGCAAACACTGCTATCTCATCCCTGACTAATGTTAAAGGACTGCTAATGACATTGCTTGGCCTGGGAATGCTTTTGCTGATGGTTTTTCTATGCCTTCCTTGCATTATATGTGCACTGCAAAACTCTTATGAGTTTAGCCAGCCAGTTACATAAGATTAAGCTCCAAGTGAATGAATTTCCCCCGAGAGGAACTGCAGCCAGAGACGGGTAAGAGGTGGTGTCAGTCTGACCAACCTAAGACAGGGCCTTCAGCTTTGCTCTGAAGAAGTTCCCAATGACGGGTAAGACAGACAAGGTGATCCACCCAACCTAAGACAGGCGGTTCACTTCTTTAAACAGTAAAGCTTAAAGGTCATCTTGACCCCTGTGCTCGCTGAAGACACCTGGTGCCTGGGATTGCTTTGCTATGTCTGCAGAGTTTGTTTTACTTTCAACCAAATTATCTGGTTTTTACTGCACTCTGTTTCTACTGAAATTTTCCTTGTTTTTCTGGACTACAGTAGAACGGCCTGAGTGTGGGGGCCCACGAGGATGCACCGTTGCGCATGTGTGGAATTCCCAATACCCAGGCTGCTCCCATGTTCTGAAGAGGACGAACTTATGAGATACTGACTTTCATATATGCTCAGGAATTAATCAAACTGCTTTGGACATTTCTTTTTTTTTTTTGCTAGTCATGGGACCTGAACTCTGGGCCTGGGCACTGTCCCTGAGTTCTTCAGCTCAAGGCTAGCGCCCTACCACTTGAGCCACAGCACCATTTCCAGCTTTTTCTGCTTATGTGGTGTTAAGGAATCGAACCCAGGGTCTCATGCATTCAAGGCAAGCACTTTACCACTGAGCCATTGAGCCACCTTCCCAGCCCCAGCTTCGGACATTTCTAACTGTGGTGGGGCTGATGTTTATTACTGTGCTAGGTGGGGATGTGAGGTAACTGGGATGGGCTCTTGGATCATGCACAAGGGCCCTCCCTATCCTTGTCTGGCAAATCTCACCCCCCAGACTTGCCTCGAACCCCCTGCGTGGCCAATGCTATTCTTACCAATGTAATCCTGTTAAAATAACCTCTACAGAGGAGGGGAAAAGGATAACAAACTGGGAGGTGGGTCTGCCATTAAAATAAAAAGGGGGAGGGGCTGGGAAGGTGGCTCAGCAGTAGAGCGCTTGCCTTGCATGCATGAGGCCCTGGGTTCGATTCCTCAGCACCACATAAGCAGAAAAAATAAAAAAGCCGAAGTGGCGCTGTGGCTCAAGTGGTAGAGCGCTAGACTTGAGCTGAAGAGCTGAGGGACAGCGCTCAGGCCCAGAGTTCAGGCCCCATGACCAGACCCAAAAAATAAAAAGGGGGAATCTGTGGGGCACATGGGCAGCAAAGATGGCCCTGAGAGGGAGTTGAGTGGACAGAGCCTCATTTGTTTATAATCAGTGTGTAAACAGCTTCT